TCCAGCAACATAGCCATTACACTAACTGCTGGTCCCGGTTCTGGCTTTCTATGCACAGTGCTTAACTGCTGGGCTACAGGACTGGCCCTGAGTATTATGTATTTAGTTTTGACTGACTGAGGGCATGTGCACAGACCAGAGAGACAGAAAGACAGAGGGGTAGGGAGAGGGAGAAAGCACCCCACAATGGGACATACACACACACACACACACACACACACACACAAACTGTTTTTCAAGCTGCTGAAGCAAGGGCTCAAACTGTAGCTGACCGTGTAGGATCTGGCTTAACCACGAGGCCTGGGACTGGCCCTCAAGAACTCCAAAGATGGCAAAAGCAGGGCATTAAGTCAAGCATAGGGCCCTTCTGAGCCTAGGGCCCTGCAGAGGTCACACATGCATGGCCTTGTGTGTGTGTGTGTGTGTGCGTGTGTGCCGGCAGGCATGCACAGGCACGTGTGCCGTCTGTGGGAATTTTTTCCCACCTACACACCTTAGTAGAGTGCATTTGGCCCTAGTTGCAGCCCCGCCAGCCCCACCCACTCTACCAGAGACAGCCCCTGAGTGTAAGTGGTGCCACCCCACCCCATCCCTCCAAGCCCTGGCCTAGGACACCGCCCCCACCCCCAACAAGCTGAGCCGGACTTGCCAGCTGGCTGCGTTGCTGGACCCTGTGAGCAGCCAAGCTTGGAGCGCCAGGAGGAATTGTCGGCAGCACCCAAAGGTGGGGCCTGGTATCTCAGGTGAGGACACCGTCCTGTGCCCCCTCTGGGCGACCCTGGCTTCCATCCCACAAGTGGGAGCCATTTTGGATCTGACTGTTAAGAATTCAGAGTGGGGCTCCACAGAGGGACGGAAGCCCTGCAGAGGAGCCTGGGAAGGGAGTCTAGAACCCAGGACTGGAGCCCCCGCTCTGCTCTGCGACTCTGGAAACTCCATCAGTCTCTGAGCTGCTCTTCTAGGCCTCACACAGCCACCCAGCTGTCTGTCCACTCCCTCAGTCGGTGCGTCCATGGCCCCCTCCTGCCCACCGTGCTAGGCCTCCGGTTTGTGTGCGGGGAGAGACGTGATGATGGGGGAGGGCGGAGAGTCACAGTGCGCTACCAAATCTGCCTGGGCTGAGGGCGTTCAGAGACAGCGTCCCAGGAGGAACTGTGAAGACAGAGCTGCCACCAGGCTGGCAAAGATGGCAGGAGGAGCAGGGCAAAGCACTGAGAGCAGAGGGGGGAGCATGAGCAAAGTCAGGGAAGGATCAGAGAGCACAATGTTTGCAGGGAATTTTGCAAGTTATGCCGTCCGGCTAAAGATTGAGTCAAGGGGTGAGGCTAGCAGGATCCGGAGCCCACAGAGGCTCCTGCACTTGACCTTGCAGGTCCTCACATCCTGGCTGCTGACATGGGTGGGAGCTGGGTGATAAGGCAGGAGCCAGTAGCAGGGATGGAGAGGGAGGGCTGTGGGCTGTAGGGGTGGGACCAAGACTGTGGGGTGGACAGGCCTAGGTACTTCATGGGAGCCGGAACCCCCTTGGTACCTCTCCCTGGCCCTTCTCGCCCAGGTTCTCCCGGCAGAGATTCAAGTCAGAAGATGCCCCCAAGATCCATGTGGCCCTGAGCGTGAGCCTGTTCCTCCTGAACCTGGCCTTCTTAGTCAATGTGGGGAGTGGCTCGCAGGGGTCCCACGCTGCCTGCTGGGTCCGGGGGGGCATCCTCCATTACTTCCTGCTCTGTACTTTCACCTGGATGGGCCTAGAAGCCTTCCACCTCTACCTGCTCGTCATCAGGGTCTTCAACACATACTTCGGCCATTACTTCCTGAAGCTGAGCCTGGTGGGCTGGGGTATGTGCTCCCTGGATGGGCAGAGGGACAGTTGGCCCCAGGGGTTGGACAGGGACATAGCTTTGGGGAGAGAGAGGAGTTCGCTCTCTCAGATAAGCTCGAGGGCTGGGGCTGGGCAGCCAGGGGCTGTGGAGAAGGAAACTTTGGCAGTGCACACCTCTTCTCCCTGCCCAGGCCTGCCTGCCCTCATGGTCATTGGCACTGGGAGTGCCAACAGCTATGGCCACTACACCATCCGCGACAAGGAGAACCGCACTTCGCTGGAGCTGTGAGTGGCGACCGGGAGAGCGAGGGTGACGTTAGGTCCTGCTTCACGTGGCGAGGCCAGAGGGAGGTGGGGAGAGAGGGAATCCTGGGGAGAGAGACAAGTAGTCAAGGCTAGAAGGCTGCTCAGACCCAGCTAGCTCATGGCACGGAAAGGCAAACTAGGCCTGGGGTGAGAAAGTGAACTGAGGGAGGGGGCCTGAGAATGGAGAGAGAACTCAACCGGGAGGAGGAGGCCTTACCGGGCCACCGCTAGTCCACGCAGCCCCTCATGGTAAAGCAAAGTAGGCGATCCCCATCCCATACTGGGTGTCCAGCCTTGTGAGTGAGGGGAATGTTGAGGTTCAGCCTCAATCGGCCCCCTTAGCCAGGGGCTCTTGTTCAGGGACAGGACAACCTGCCCAACCATTTGCAGTGACCCTGGGTCCAGCTCAAGCTCTGCTCCTGACTGTTGTGTGTGTGATTGTGTGACCTCGGGCAAACCTGGCCTCCCCTAGGGCCTCAGCGTCCTCACCTGTGCAATGGGGTTGCTGGTCGGCCCACCCTCTGGCCTTCGCACATGCAGTGCAGGGAGCAGCGGAGCTGATCTGAGCCTCTAGGCTCCCACCTGCTGCTCTCCAAGGGCACCCATCAGCAGACCCACGACTGTGCGTGAGGAGGGACTGGCATGGCCTCGGACGTGCCCCCAGAGCCTCAAATTCAGGGGCCACCAGGTGGCTAACATAGGCACATGCAGCGGGCCGGGTGGAGACCACGGTGCGCTGGCCGTCACACACCTGTCTAATGGGCAATGGTTACTGTTCTACGCGAGGGCAGCCACCGAGCTACCAGGTAGATGGTTTCATAGCAGAAGCAAACGTCTGCGGTCTATGCCAAACCTGTGGATTTCAAAGGGCAGCCACCAATTTAGGTTTTAGACATATAACGTGGCACGAAGGACACGATGGCCTCTCGGCATCTCTGGTCTACAGAGCCATGATGGGAGCCTACAACAGCCCCTTCCCCAGCAGGAGAGCTGGAATGGCGGGTGGGAATGGGGAGGCATCTCTAGGCCATGACTGGGCAGGCAGGGGGCTTCCTGGGGTTGTCGTCAGGACCGTTCCCAGCCCCAGTGGCTTCCGCCTCCTCCAGGTGCTGGTTCCAAGAGCAGCCTGCCGCCCTCTACATCACCGTCCATGGCTACTTCCTCCTGACCTTCCTCTTCGGCTCCATGGTGCTGGCGCTGGTGGCCTGGAAGATCTTCACTCTGTCGAGTGCCACTGCTGGCAAGGAGCAGGGGCAGAACAGGAAGGGGCTCGTCACCGTGCTGGGCCTTTCCAGCCTGGTGGGCGTGACATGGGGGCTGGCCGTGCTCACGCCCCTCGGCCTGTCCACTGTCTACATCTTCGCACTTTTCAACTCCCTGCAAGGTGAGGCTCCTGGGCAGGGAGGGGACGGGCTGGGAGCTGCGGGAGAGGGTGTGTGCAGAAACGGGATTCCAAGTCAAGAGTACTGATTGTAAGTACTCAGGCCTCTCTCCCAGATCCAGACCAGCGAGGGTGGCTGACTGCCTGGAACTGCTGCCAGGATCAGGGAAAGCCACCCCGACTAACACGATGCTTCCTCCGTCCTCTTCTCTGGATCTGTGCATTGCTTCTCATCTGTGGTCTGTGAAACGCCTCTTTCTTCTCTCTCCAATTATCCATTACCACCCATAGCCCCCCACCCC